GCGCCGATCTCCGGACCACCACACCTTCTCACGATCTTCTCGATATCATATCGAATAGTGCAGTGGGTTGGTGTTCTAGTAAGTCTCCTACGATATTGATGGCTGAAGGAGGGCCATATCGCTGCTCGAGCATCTGCAGTGGGAACTTCTATTTACACACCAGGTGAAAATGACCAATCAAAAAGAGCTAACTGGTTTGTGTGGTTTGGCGTCAATGTTGGAGGATTGGCTCCCATGACTTCAAGCTTACGGACTAAGTACGTGAATGGCGGTGTGAGTCAGGTGGCGTAATGCAGCCCTCTCAGAAAGCACGCTGTACACAGCCGTGAAAGAAATGTTTTTGCTAAAAGAGCATGCGAAGGCGTGACTGTGAATATCTAGCAGAGTTGAAGACACTCGAGGCTGGGCAAGTGTGCTGGCGAACAGTCTTCTGTAGACCTTGAAGATTTATGAGTCACTGCACGTGGCGAGCGTTAAACTGCATTCTGCGATTGAATCCTTAGCAAACTGCAGGAAGAAAGTTTGCACTAAACCATTTCTGTTATTGCTTTCTGCTTATGTCTCTGATGAAGAATCCGCGGCGGATATGGAAACGTCAGGAGTATAAAAGTGTTGTCCCAGCGACCGAATCGTTTTCTTTTCAAAGTTTGCGCCGTCATTTAATTGAATCCAAGGAGCCAGTTCGGTGGAGATCGATAAACTCCTAATACAAAGGGCAAGCGAAATTCTGGACGGTATTGGCGGCGAGAGCTGATATTTCGAAAGTGCTATACGCAACAAAATAGTGGATTCTTTAAACAAAGTGTGGAATCCTAGTTTAGATCCCAAGAAATGTTTAAATAATCTAATGTATCCGCAAACAAAGCGCACGATAAATAAACAGAAATTTACTTATATTTCCTACTTATAATTTATTGGGTGTAACAAATTTGGATACTTTTTACCGACTTTTGCCTGAAAAAAAATTGGCTGTTCGGAGGTTGTCTACTTCAAATGATCAGAGGTCCAACTTACCCTTCTAGATTTAGATTCGTATAATTCGCGGTGCGAGGCGACGCGCACACCTTCAATTAACATGCGGAACAACTCAACTTTATTTATTTGTTTTTTGGCTTATTCATATGTAAGTTCAGTAGTCAGTGCAATATTATGTTTACTATTTTTGTTATGGTTTCTGGTTATTTTTTAATTAAAGTCAGTTTAGCATACTTTAGTTAACGTTTTCAGTTAGTTGATTTTAGTTTTAGCCAGTTATTTTGTTACTTAATTATTTTCCAATATCTGCATAATTGCACATTTTAATTATCACGAACTTTTTTGTTGACGAACCTTAGGGCATTTAAATGATTATTCTTGTTTTTTCTACTTTTATAAACTTTATTTTTTAGTTTATATTTCCTTTCCTTTGTATTGCGCAGACTGCATACCCTTTATTTCCCCCGGTTCTGTATTACAGGAGAATGGGGCTTTTGTGTGCTGATCTGAGACCCAAAATAGGATTCCACCAAAAAAGTTACTTATCGGGTTTTAAGGTCATAGACCGTAGTCGTGCCGTCAACAGTTCACTTCAGGCCCTGATGTCAAGGAAGTTCGCTCTTCTATCAGTGAATTCCTCGAGCTCCTTTCTCAGAGGATCACTGGGAATGAGCAAAAAAACTACTAGTGATGGTAACAGATGACTGAAATGCTTCAACTGCTTGGCCAGTGAATGGCGGCACTTTAAGTTCCGTCGACAATCCTTCCTGTCGAATTATAAACAACTACGCGACGGCTCGAGAGGACCCTAGATTGCGCCTCAAGGCGCAATTGCTCTTCTGTAACCTAAACGCTGCTCCAAAGAGGACGTATTATGTCCTCCAGTTGTATGAGTGGAATACGAGACAGATAGGGTAGTAGGAAGCAGTTCACTGCAGCGGCCTCTGTGAGCATATCAGCTCTGCGCGTG